GGGGGGGGGGCAAGATCCTCCGATACCACGCTGGCGGCACCCTCTACCACCCCGCCCCCAACTTCCTCGACAAGACATCCACCTGTGTCGCATCAGGCGGATACGTCAAACAACCTGTTCCCTTCAGCATCCCACTCGGCCGAGTGCTGCGGGAGCTCGCGCCAGGCTCGCCGCTCCGCCCGTTAGTCTGCGAGCTCAATCACGACAGCGTCCTCCTCGACGGCGCCCACGTTCTCCAGTGCCTCCATGATGCCGTTGAACCAATCGCTGGTGAAGATCGGCACGAAGACGAAGGTGATGACGGCAAAGGCCAGCACGATCCCAACAACGACCGTCAACTTCTTGTTCCTCCACCACTGCTGCTCTTTGACGACGCGCGTCCTGCGCTGGAAGCCTTTGGCGAAAGTGCCGAGGCGCTCTGTCTTCTCCGTCAGCGCGTCGGAGTTCGCGTGGTTTTCGAGGACGATGTCGACATTTTGCTGCATGACGTCCCTGACGCTGTCAACCTGCGACTGGATCACGACGACCTGATCTCTGTCGAGCGCGCACTCGATCTCGGTCGCTTGACGCAGGGAGGGGCTCTTCCATTCCGGCGTAGGCGGCACGGGAGGCGGTGCGGACGAGGGGCCGCCGACCTCTTGCTCCTGCAGCCGGCCAAAGCGAGTGCTCAGCTTCCTCGGGACGCGAGCCGTACGCGAGGAGGAGGCGCGCGATAAGGCTTTGAAAGGCCCGGAGCGTCGCTGGGGTGGGCGCGACTCGGGCTCCGCCATCGACATTTTCGAGGTGGCAAATGCACAGATTCGACAGAGTCGGCCGGGGGCGGTCTGGTGCAGCTGCGGGCGGGCTGTCGGGTGGGGAGGAGGCGCTGCTGTGAACGGCGCCTCTTCACACCCGCTGCTGTGAGCAGGCGGGCTGGTGGGTGTGGTGGAGGAGGAGCTGCTGCAGCCACGAGGTGTTCCTTTCCCCTCGGCGGGGCCAACAGTGTGAATACTCGCCGAGTTCGGCGGCGTTGAGCGCCTCCCCTCTCTCTCCCCCCTCCTCCCTCCTTCCCTTCCCCTCTCCGGCCGCGCGCATGACCGGTGCGGCGGTGCGGCCTCCGAGTCGGTGAAAGAAAGAAAGAAAGAACCCAGAGAACCCAAGGGTCGGTGAGCGTCTAGCGCGCGCACTTGGAGCACTTGGAGTGCAGTCGGTAACCTCACGCCCAGGACCGGGGAGCTGAGAAGCGCACCCAGTTGGCCGGACGCTCGGCATCGGGTTACGGGCTAGAGAGCCCTAGCCCCGCGATCATTTTTTTTTACTCGCTCGCCTTCCCGAACAAAACAATCTCGCCTTCCCTGAGCCGCCTGCATGTAGAGAGAGATTTTTAAAGACCAACAAGAAATCACGGCTTCACAGTGATTTGGGCTCGGCAGCTTGTTAGCCCTCAGCCGAAGCTGGGGCCGGTCCTGTCTTCACTGTCTGTGCGATTTCGGGCCGGGAGTAAAAATCCTGATTTGGGAGAGATTTTTAGAAGCCAACAAGAAATGTGGCACACACAGTGATTTGGGCTCGGCAGCTTGTCGACTACCAGCCGGAGCCGGAGTCGGAACCGTAGCCGAGATGGTCTTCGAGGGTGTCGAATATGTCATTCGCCTCGCTAGTGGAGCCGGTGCCGCACGAGTCGCGGTCGGAGGAGGAGTCGTCGGGGAGTGGTCGGAGAACTCGCGCTTGTCGCGCCTGATGCGCTCTGTGAGGGGGCCGGGGTCGAAGTAGTCGTGCTCGAGCGTCGGGTAGGTAGCGCGCCTTGCGACCTTGTCGGCCGAGCTGCCGTCCCAGTAGAGGGTGTACCAGTCGCCGCGTGGATAGAACCAAGCGTTGACCAACCTGTACCGTCCGAGAGCGGCCGCCTGAGCGGCCTGAGCAGCCGCCTGAGCGGCCGCCTCTGCAGCGGCCGCCGCCGCCGCAGCCTTCCGCGCCGCCGCCGCTGCAGCCGCTGCGCGCTTGCCCTGCTTCTTCGCGTTGGACGCCTTCTTCTTCGTGCTCTTCATGGTCCCTCGGTGGGGCGGCTGACTCGCCAGAGGTCGTACTCTGGATGACTGGGGCAGGGCGACTCACGGGAGGAGGAGGGGGACGAGGGCGGAGGCAGGCACAGCTGCTCTCCGGTGACCTCGTGTTGGTGGCAGAACCCGATGGTTCCGTCGCAGCCGCGCACTGTGTCATGGGGGTTGTAGATTTCGAGAGGGAATCGGGCCAGCGCATCCGTGAAAAAGAGAGGAAGACGTGTTGAACGCAAGCAGTAGATGAAGTCGACGACGTAGCCGCCGCCGCGCCGCCGCCCGCCCTCGTGGCCGCCGTAGACGCGGCTGAGGAAGAGGTCAGCGGTGCCTGCCCGCTGGGCGGGCAGGCCTTGAAGAACTCGTTCAGAGAAGTGCGAGTGAGGAGGCCGCGTGCAGCAGCCTGGATCTTGGTGATACCGTAGGGTGCCGAACTTAAGGTAAGGTAGCTTGAGTTAGGGAGCCCTTTTCCTCTGACCGAACTCCTGTTCTAATGTGCCTAACTCCTGCTACCCACCTCTCGGTCCAGCCCGGACCGGCACATACGGGCCCCGCGGCCCGCACCACTGAGGCATCTCCCTCCTACGCTACGAACACCTACGCTCAAGTACGAGTGCCTACGCTACTAGATCCCTACTCCTCCTCCTCCTCCACCACCACCTCCTCCTCCTCCTCACTCGCCGCACCCTCGTCAGCTCCACGTCAGCTCCGGCCGTCGGACCAAAAAAGAAATCCCCGGGCCCTAACTGCTGCTACCCCGTGCCTAACTCAGTGCAAAGCACCTAACCTAACTCAAGCTACCTTACCTTAAGTTCGGCACCCTACGGTAAGGAGCATGACGATGATGGTGCCCTTGCGCAGCAGGAACGCGCGCATCGCCCGCTGAACGCGGGTCGCTGCGGCGCCCTGTGCGAGCCCCAGCCGGATGGTTTGCAGCGTGGATGTCACAGCCACGATGTCGTCATGCCCAGCGGCCACCCCAGCCTCGCTAAAGTCGCCAGCGAGGTTGGGCAAGCCCGGCAGCTCTGGCGAGCCAACGAGGCCGGCAGCAGGCCCAACTGGGTTCGATCTGGAGGCCAGTCGATCGCAGCCGATTTGTAACACACACACACACACACACACTTCAAACAAACTCTCTCTAACAAACTCTCTCTCACACTCTTTCTCTCTCACACACACACTCACTCACTCACACACACACACACACACACACACACACACACACACAGAGAGAGAGAGAGAGAGAGAGAGAGAGAGAGAAAGAGAGAGAGAGCACACAGGACGGCGTCTGCACACCGCTTGACGTTCAACACAAGAAGATGTCCAGCGTACCGGTACAGAGAAGTCGCCAGCGGCGCCGGCTCTGTCCGGGCCGCAGTCTCCAAAGGCTGCGATGCCGACGATCCAGAGCGTCACCTCGGCTGTGATCGCAGCCAGGCGCGTCGGCGACGGCTACGCTCGCTTCGACTCCCGCCAGGCGTCGGCCGAGACGCCCGGCGGCGGCGGCGCTCTGCGAAAGCTGAGACGGGTGCGCTCCTCCGACCGCATCATGAAGACCTCCGGCCGGTTGGTTCGCACGTCGTCGCCCAAGGTCACCGCCTCGCCCTACTCGCGCGCCTTCGTGTCCCGCACGCCGGCGACGCCCTGGCCTCCGCCGGACGAGGGGTGTGAGGCGTCGGAGAGCGGCGCGGCGGGGAGCCACGTCGCGGACGAGGCCGCCCTGAGCATGGGGGAGGAGTGGCCGCCTTCGAAGCCTTCTGGCGCGGCCTGCGGCGGGCTGCGCGGCGTGCTGGGGCTGCGCGCAGGGACGAGCGTGTGGGGCCTCGAGCCGTGGGACCTGCGCAGATGGTGCCTCTCGCACGGCTGGGCCGGTGCCACGTGCGCCACGTGCGGCTCGTGGCCGTTCCTCTCCTCCCGCTTGTCCTGGCTGGAGCTGTGGTGGACACCGCCAAAGGCGCGTGCTCTCTCACCCGGAGGGCGAGCGCACACCCGTGGCCGGTCGAGTGATCAGGATGGATGGGGGGGGTGGAGAGGAGGTGCTCAGCCGGTGATGCAGCACCTTGCCTTACCCCTTAGGTGCTCAGCCAGTGGGGCGAGAGGCAGCACCACGTGCACGCTGACTGGCGCAGCGGCCTATCTCCTCGGCCTCGTCATGGCCGGGGCACGTCCACGACATGTGGACGGCACGGACCCGTGTAGGAGCGGCCTCTTCTTCGACCTCGTCTTTGTGGGCGTCGCCTTCCAACTCGGCGCACCCTCGCCCCATCTCGCCCCATCTCGCCCCATCTCGCCTCTGCCTCCACCTCCACACCCTCACACCCAATCGTGCGGAGCTCGCCTCTCCCCTCCGCCCTCTCTCCCTTTCCTCCGGCCACCCCCCCCCCCCTCCCCTCCCGAGGCGCCTTCTTCAATTACTCCTTCTTCTACCGCTGCTCCGCCTCACACCCCTGCCGCGGCCTGCTCGAGACGCTGCTCTGGTCCGCCGCCATCTTCGTCTCGATGCTGCGCATCTGGTCCACCGAGGTGGCCTACCGCGGCCGGCTGGTTGCGACCAGCCGACTCCACCGCCTCCTCGACCTCGCCACCTACTTCCTGCTCTTCGTCGCCGCCTCGAACATCCGGCCGCTCCAGGAGACCGCGAGAGGAGGGGGCGAGAGGGGCCGAGAGGAGGGGCCCAGAGGGGCCGAAAGGAGGCAGGGGCCGAGATGACCCTCCAGCTCTCTCGCCGCTGCAGGACTGGCTGGGCGACGCTGCGGCGGGCAACACGAAGCTCATCGCATGCTTTGGCCCGATCATGCTCGCCCAGGCGCGGGGCGGGGCGGGGGCGGCTAGCCTCGGGCCCTGCTCGGGTGAGCGAGTGGCGCCCCCTCTCCTCCTCAGGCGGTGTGGGTCGGCCGGTGGCTCGAGGTGGCTCTCCTAGCGCCTGTGGAGGCGGCGCGGCGGCAGGCGGCCAGAGAGGCGCGTGGGAGGGCTCGCCCCGAGCCCCGTCGGAACCTTCTCGGAGCCTTCCTTGCAGGCGGCGGAGATACTGGTCGACGAGTGCGGTGGGACCGCCGCCTTGCGGCTCGGCACTGCTCGCGCGCTGTGCTGACTGACCGCTCCTCGCTCAACAAGCAGGCGGTATCGTCGTGTGGCTGGTCGGGCTGCAGCTGCTGTCCCCAGGGCTGCTGCTGCTGTGCCAAACAGCCTCTCGAGAGAGAGGGACTGCGATCACACACGCGCCCCCTTGACTGCCCGTCAGGCTGCTCCTGCTCGGCGGCTTCTGGGCCGACGTGCGCCAGATGTGCCGCGAGGTGCACCTCCCCCACACCTCCCCCACACACCTCCCCCCCACACGCGTGCCGCACGGGGCCTAGCGCACCGCTGCTCTCCACATCCCGTCTGCTGCCCTGGCCCTTCTCTCTCCGCGGCCCTGTCTGGGACGTGTGGCGATGCGAGAGGGCTGCCCGCCGTTGCCGTAGCGCTCTGCCCGACCATCTCGGCGACTCTCGGCGACTCTGCGCCCCCACAGGCGCGCAAGGGGCTCCTCTCGGGGCCGCACTTTCCTCGCAGCCGCGTCTCGCTCCCCCTTAACGCGCACTTCGGCATCGCGCGGCGCGCAGAGCTGCCGCCCTCGCGGCCGGCGAGGAGTGTGTGACTTGAGTGACCCGTCCTCGCCTTAGTCACGCCGAGTTCATGTTCCTCATGATCGGCGAGACAGTGCTGCAGATGATTATCGCGCGGCAGCAGGCGGGAGCCGGCCTGCACTAGGGCCTGCACCGCCCCCGTCCACACGACGCACACCAGACGCACACGCTCAGACGACCCTCTCGCTGCGTCGAGATCTCCCGAGACTGCCATAGACCGCACACCGGGCTCGCGACCGCTACACCAACCACCAACCAACCAGCCAGCAGGTGGCGTCGACGGGGGAGCGGTTCACTGTGGATGACCTCGAGGCCATCTTTTCGGACATCGACAAGAATCCGTCAGACAACCGCCTCGTCGAGTCCGAGCTAGAGGAGGCCGTGCCGTACCTCACCCGCCTGGGAGCTGAACCCCGCTTGAGGGGTGGCCAAGGGCACTTTGCGCCCCCCCTTCACACCTGCAGCTGTGAGCAGGCTTCCGCTCGCCGGCCCTGGCCGACGTGTTTGCCTTCGACGTGGACCAGAGCGGCACGCTTGAGTTCGAGGAGTTCGTGCCTTGGGCGGTGGAGAGACACTGCCCAGACACTGCCCAGACACTGCCCAGACACTTCCCAGACACTACCCAGACACTTCCTCTAGCATATAGAGACACTTTGTGGCGTGGGCACATGCACATGCGTGGGTAGTCACGACTTCGACCCCACCCCCCACACCATCCACCCCTCTCTGCTCACGCCCCCTTCACACCTCCCGCCAGGTGGAGCAGGACCCGGTCAGCCACCTCGCCCACCCCGTCCTCGCCGGCTACCTCATCGCCGCGTGCCTCATGTCGCGCACCCCGCCCCGCCCCGGGCCGCTGCACAAGCGTGGCAGGCTTACGCGGACGGGTCGCCGGGGCTGCGGGGAATAGGCGCCCGGGCACGTCGCCGTCGAAGGGACTTGGGGGGGGGGGGGGGAGGAGCGCCTCTTCACCGCCTCTGCCTGCGCGGCCAGGTTCTCGCACCACGTGGTCGAGCCGGACGTGTCGGACCACGTCTTCTCCTCCGTGCTCACCAAGCAGCACCGCCGCTGGCTCGTCGGCAAGCAGACCATCTACCAGGTGCTCTACGCGCTCAAGGCGGTCGCGGTGTGCCACGTCGGTGTGTGTGTGCCGCCCGCCAGCCGCCGGCCACCGCACCTCCCTTCCCGACGCGACGACGCGGAGAGGACGGCAGACGCGTGCCCACACGCCGCACTTCGGCTCCTTCGGCCAGCATCTGCTCGCCTCGGCCCCCTGCTCGCCCGCCAGGTATCGCCGTCAAGCTCAACCTGCTCGACGAGATAGACGGAGATCCCGACGCCGCGGGCCCAGACACGGCGCACCCTGTCGTCCAGCGCGAGTTTGGGCGGCGGCTTCTCCTCGGCGTCTCGATCACGGCGACCTTCGCGCTGCAGATGCTCATGCAGCCGCTGCACACCTCGTACCTCAAAAACTACTCGCTGCCCGCCCTCCGGCTGCAGGTGGCGCCGCGGGGCGCGGATCCCCCTCTCCCACAGCTTCCACATGCATCCGACACCCACAACAGCGACCCCGCCACCCCAACCACTCTCCTCTGTCCACACCAGGCGCACACACTCCCTCCCCCCACCCTCCCAGCTGCCTCCCCCGCGCCTCCGCCTCGCAGCCTCGCCGCGCCGCCCTCGTACTCGGCCGGCTGGTTCTGCTCTGCGCCACGCCCGCCGTCGCGCTGAGGGAGCACGTGCCGCAGGCGCCAGGCATCTAGCCGAGAGCAGCACCACACAGTCCGGCGATTGTAGAGAGAGCGCACGCCCACCCCCTCCCTCCCGCCCCCAGGCGCGCATCGCACAGGTGGCGGCGATCGTGTCGCTGCAGACCGTGTGCATGTACGTGCAGGAGACCATGCCCCTCCCTGCCAAGGGCGAGATGCAGCAGCATTCGCGCGGGGAGAGCCCCTCGCTGACGAGGCGAGAAGTCGCGCCGGCACTGGCAGCAGCCGAGCAGGCGGCCAAGGGTTCCGTAGCAACCGATCAACCGTAGCGACTAGCGTGTGCTCCGTGCAGTGTATAGGCTATAGCCGAAACCTGGGGCGGGCATGTACGGCCTTGAAAACGCGTTGCTTTGTTGTGTGTATGGATTTCCCGAGGAACAGGGCGGAAGCGCGTCTCTTCAGTGTTCAGATCCGGGATATTCCTTGAGCCGTGGCGCGCGCCCGGTCGAGCGCGCCCACATTGGCTTGACTCGGGCCCGATCGGGAGGGGTCGGTGATCGCTCTCGAGCGATCTTTTTGGAGCCTGCACGAGGGCGAGGGAGAGGAGAGTGAGGGGGGAGCGTGAGCGGGGGCGCCGGACAGGGGGTGCGGCGCACTCGTCAAGCATCCTCAGCTCGTTCGAGGCTTCGGCATCCGAGAAGCGGTCCGAGCTCCCCGCCGTCCGCCAACTGTCGTCCACGTACAGACCCGACGAGCGGCGGGCCTCAGAGGCCCGCCGCCCCGATTCGATCCGCTCGTTTTCGGCCATGTAGGGGCCGGGGCGCGGGCCACGAGGCGTCTTCAGCGTGGTCAGCCCTCCCAACGCAGTCGCCAGCGACCGCGGACCTCGCGGCGTCTTCAAGGTGGGCACCGCTCCCGCAGCGGCCGCCAGCGGCGCCGGCGCGCGCGGCGCATGCAGCGTGGGCGCGTATCCGGGCGCGCCCTCCGCGGGCGGCGGCGGGGCCTGCTTCTGCCGATACCTCCTGTAGAGGAGGT